CGGTCTTCCTCTGGGAGGCGGAGCAAGAAAGGCGGCCTCTCCCGGGTGTCACGGCGGCGTGTAGGCCGCAGCTAGCCGCGGTGGTCCCCGGCTCTCCCGTGCAGGCCAGCCCCAGGGACGGCGAGACCAGAGGGCGAGTTGTGACCGGTCCGGGCCTGCCGCCACTGGGAGCCTGACGGCAGTAGTGAGAAGGAGCCTGAGAAGCTCCTGAGCAGCAGAATGCTGTGGTCCCACGCGTGTTGTCTATTGTGCCTGCTGGATTGTGCACTAACAAATCCATAGCTGTTGCAGTTACTTGGGGCTTTTGGGAGCAGAGACCTTCAGAGGGATGTGTTCTCTGAGTGACACTGAGTGAAAAGTGGCATATGCTGAACTGAAATGCTTAAATGGCTTTGCTGCAAAGTGCTGTGGGTTAACTTGTTCTGTAGCGGAGAATCAAAATTGCAGCCCAGTGGCACCTGTGCTCAAGTAACTAAACAATAGGATGGCAGAAGAACCAACAAATGTGTCATAAAATCAATAAAAGAATGATTACTGTCATAGGAAGAGTACCACATCTACTCTCAACAACAGTATTACAGAAAATAAGAGGATTTACAGAAGAGTAATAAGAATGGTCATATGTACACAAACAGCAGAAATGGAAAAAAAGAATTTTTGCCAAATATGAGATAATCAGATAAAAGCATGCATGCTGGTGAATGATGCAGAGAAGCAAGTTGGAATTTCTATTATGTTAACACAGGAGGAAAAACTCTTGCAAATGAAAAGAGGAAAATACAAGGCTGAGGAAATACTGTTTCAGATAATATGTGAATGTGTTATGCCTCAGCAAGTTTGCTGACACCACCAAGCTGTGTGCTATGGTTGACATGCTGGAGGGAAGGGATGCCATCCAAAGGGATCTGGACAGGCTTGAGAGGTGTGCCCATATGAACCTCATGAAGTTCAACCAGGCCAAGTGCAAGGTCCTGCACGTGGGTTGGGGCAATGCCAAACCCAAATACAGTCTGGGTGGAGAAAGGATTGAGAACAGCCCTGAGGAGATGGGCTTGGGGGTGTTGGTGGATCAGAAGCTCAACATGAGCTGGCAATGTGCGCTTGCAGCCCAAAAGGCCAACCGCATCCTGGGCTGCATCAAGAGAAGCGTGGCCAGAAGGTCAAGGGAGGTGATTCTCCCCATCTATTCTGCTCTGGTGAGACCCCACCTGGAGTACTTTGTCCAGCTCTTGGGCCCCCTACATAAGAAGGACATGGACCTGTTGGAGCGCGTCCAGAGGAGGGCCGCAAAGGTGATCAGAGGGCTGGAACACCTCTCCTATGA